TTATAAGAGCCAAAAAGTAACATGCTTATTAACTGTGGGTTACTCAGCTTTATACATAGAGCTTAGCAGATCACGTGAATGTTTCCACATTCTCAGCTAAGCTAATGGTTCCTTAGAGCCCCGTTCCTATAACCTCTTAAGAATTTCAAGATTTGCCTGAAAAAATATATCATATTTCCATGACCATGCCTGAACACATATTTGGAACGCTCACTGAAAGCAAACTATCCTGGAGGACAGGAAATGGTCATTGTTTTCAAAGAAAGGCAAGACGCTCCTGCACACAGGAAATCAAGCCGGTCTCAGGGGCTTGATCTCATCTCCCTCCACACAAACCTGCATGTCCTGTGTGGGCCCTGCCCTCCACCTCACACGTAGGAACATGCTGGGGAATAAGAATATGATCACTTACCATTTAAGGTCAAAGACGTTTTATTCAAAACTGCCACATAAATGCATCCAGAGAAATATATTCCCTCCTTCTTTCACATTTCATTTCATTTAAAAGTAATCAGGGACTTAGAGGGATTCTGGGCTTACAACAGGCAACTTGTAAGCCTCTGGGAAAACCTGTCCAAAGACTCAGATCTAAAATGTCGTTTCCTAGATACACTGTTTTCTGCAGCAGAGCTCGGTAAAACTTTCATTAGAAAGTTGCTGCATTTCATTTTTTCCTTGTGAAAAAGAAAATAATGACTCTGATAGTTTTATTGATTTTTATTTAATTCTTGGGAGCAAAATGCTGTTATAGGGCTAGTCTGAGATTGAGATATAAAAATCCTGGTTCGAGTCCCAGATGGTTACTTTGACCAGAGATAGACAAAGTGGGGAGACCCAAACCTGCCCAACCACTGCAGAGGACTGATGGCAGATCAATGGAGCCGAGCGCTATTTCATTTGTAAAGCAGCAAAGACCAATGAACTAGTAAGGTCCTTATTTTGAATGTCTTTACTTCAATAGTCAAACTTGCAGGGGAGTAGGGCAGGCCTAGTGTTTTGACTCCCTATAACTCGGTTCATGCAGAAAAGTCCTTTACTGGCACAGTTCTCTTTGAATGAAGTCCCAAAGGCTTGGATTCATATTAAAATCTCTAATATGAGAAGAATTACAGCAAGGTTACAATATAATTAACCTGAGTTATCTTTCAAACTCTTGCTGATAGGTAGCCTGCCACTTCAGACTATGCTCATGCTGTGATTTTTAAAATTAGCAAAGAATGAGTTTTCATATTCATTCAAACTAAAAGAATAAGTGAATCTTTGCATAAAAAGGCGTCGGTTAATACTTTCAATTATTTTCTAATATTATTCTTATAACAGTGTTTTTTTAATGACTGCTCTGTATGGCAAAGCCTTATTCTGTCGACCTCCTAGAGTCTGCAAAAAAGTCTGTGATTCTTACTTAAGGATTATGATGAGTCCCTTCACTGCTTGGAGAGTGAAGAAAAAAAAAAAAGCAAAATCAGGGCTATTATCCTGTGTTTATAACAAGTCTATTACCATAGTAACAACTGTGATGTCACAAACCCAATACCAAGGGCCAAATTCTGTCTCTGAGTGGGGAAGGGCAGCTTAGCCTCGGAAATCGGGTAAAATCGGATGCAAACATGTGTGGCCAAAGGAGGGTCAATGCTTGTGGTGATCACCAAAGCACAGGGAGTTCCCCTTCTCTAAAGAAAAAGGGGGCAGGAACAGAAAAGCAGATCTGCAGGCACAGAAGTAAGCTACACCCACACTTCTGTATGCAGCTGTGCAAAAGGCGAGTGGAAATCCAAGAGCATGTGGTATCACCATGTTCCCAATCACGAGTATTCCACTGGGCCCACAGCCTGCCAAACGTGGATGGGGTCCAGTGGTCAGCCTGAGTACATGAAACACGCTCTGGAACCAGCGCCTGACCAGACAGAGCCCTCTGGTACCTCAGAGAAGCAGCAGCTCGCCTCATGATGGAAATCACTTTCAAACCAAACTGGGGTTTCACCCCTACTAGGTTACCCCAGTTCACAGAACCACTGATTCTCAGGGTGAGAGAACTCATCAGGTCTTCCAAAAGATGTGGACTTTTAAAAACTAGCCTTTTGCAGGAATAAATTGTATCCCCTGTCACTGGGGAAGTAGCAGATTAATAAGTATTCTTGCTAGAAGAGCAACTCTATGTTAAAAAGTATTGGATTAGGAGTCAGAAGACCTTAGTACTATACTCGTCTTGGCTCAAGTACTTAGAAATCATGTGACCCTGATAAAGCCATTTAACCAATTTGAGCTTCAGTTTTTTATTTAATACTATCAAACATGCTAATTCCCAGGGTTACTGTAAAGATCAAATTAAATAAAATAGCAAGTATCAATGAGTTTCATAAACTGTAGAGGATTTAATACAAACATAGGTACTATTACTAACATTTTCACATGGCCAGTTCACAGTGCAACAATAATTCAAACACTAATCATTATTTTCTTTCCAGGAATCCAAAGCACACATAGGATCCCCATCTTTCCTCTCCTGAGAGGTGGACACTTGCATGATACAGTCAACTCTAAATTATTCGGGGGCTGATTATAGAGGGGCCTGTTGCTTCTAGACAATCTACCATCTCTTAGTTCCCCCTCAGGAATGCCATGTTAACCTACAGATGGCTATAAAACTCTCAGTGCGAGTGCCTCAACTCTATTATCCTGAATAGCAACTCTGATAAAAGTTTTAGCAAAAGAAAGAATTGAAATGATTAACTAGACAGAATAATTTGTGGACTTTACTTATCCACAGAGAACTACTCACATAACTGCCTGAGAGACTATGGTCATGGTCAGACAGGTTGGGACTCATTCAGCAACAAGGTGGCCTGTGCTGTCTTATATATGGGCAACAGGAATTTGAATAGTATTCATTTATTCAACAAATGTTGGTGGAACACCCACTATGTGTCAGAGCTCACCACATACCCTGAAAACCCCACTATTTCCTGGCCCTTGTTACTGTCCCTTATGCTATCCACAGAGGACTTTGGCAAAGCTCACAGCCTGACTCTTAGAAATGCTATTCACCTTCCAGTTATCATGAGACTTTTACCAACCTTACCCTAATGCAAGGGTTACCAAACTATGTCCCTGGACAAATCCTGCTCACTGCCTTTTTTAATATAAAGTTTTATTGGAACCCAGCCATGACCATCTGTTTATGTGTCATCCATGGCCGCTCTCCTGCGACCACAGCAGAGTTCAGCAGTTGTGATAGGGACAGTACAACTCCAAAGCCCAAATTCCTACCTGGCCCTATATAGAAAAAGGTTGCTAAGCCCTGAATTAGATCATATGACTAAGTGAAAATTCAACTCTCCTGTACATTTCTGCTTAGGAACGAATAGGTTAGGTCCTTGAAAGCAGAGAACCTTTCTGTATCTTTGTCTTTTCCTATAGAGCCCAGAAGTAGGATCGAGTCGGGTTGAGAGCAGATACAGAAAATTAAACACGTCCGTCCCTACATTTTGCTTTGAACAGATGAGCGCCTTGGAGTCGCATGGAAGACAGCATAAAACCACTGGTGTTGGGTTACTCTGGCTTGTAATTCCTCAGAGTTCCAACGTCTAAGACTTCCAAGGCTCAGTTTTTGGCCTCTATCCCTTTGCATATTTATTTCCTGATCTGATGTGGAATTAGAATTAAATAGGAGCTGTGTGCTTGAATTCCACGTGGCTGGCTCAGCAGGAAACTCCAGGGCAGGTTTTTTGGCATGCCAAACTCATGTTAGCCTCAGCTATGCTAATTTCTAAAGCTGTTTGCTTTTGCTCAAATAAATCTTAGAAGGGAATTTGCATTTGGATGCACACCTTTCATGCACAAATTATGTGCATGATAACTCTAGGGCCGACTGAAAATTGGAAAAAGGAAAAAATAAATGGCTTTTGTTTGGCAGGCACCATGTTAAGGAGCTTTGCATACATTTTCTCAACTCAGGGACACAGCAAATCCCCTGGCCTGGAACTGCGATCCCCATTTTACAGATGGGGAAACTGAGAAGAAGAGAGTTTACGTAATTAGTCCGTGTTCACAAAGCTGGTAAGCAACAAAGCTTAAATTTGAACCCAAGCTGCCTAAGTCTGAAAGCTGTGTTCTTTGCACTGAGTCGCACTGCCTTAATGATACCCTCATCACCATCATCACTCACCTAAGCCACTGGACATCCATTCAAGCATGAACCTTACATTTATAAAATTAGTCACCCTTCTTCTTTTCAGTTGGCCTATGCAAACTGGGTCTTGCAAAAAGCCATTTAACTTGTTCTTCAAAGTTCCTTCTTCTAAACCCACTTACGAACAACCTAGATTACCCATCTCTGCCATAGAGTTCTTTCTGATTCCTAGAAAGGTCTTTGAGAGCCTCACAAAACTGCCCATTCCTTTAGAAAGCCATAGAGGAGACCTGGCCCTCAAGACTACCAACCAGGCTTACTTCTTTTCTTGCTAACCAGTCAGTGTAGAGCCTATTTTAAAAATTATTTTATTTTTATTTCAAACAGATGATTTCAGAGAAGGAAAATACGTTTTTGTAGCCAGTGGCAGAAAAAATTTATTGTAGGTTGAAAGTTTACAGCCTAGGCCAGTGGTCGGCAAACTCATTAGTCAACAGAGCCAAATATCAACAGTACAACGACTGAAATTTCTTTTGAGAGCCAAATTTTTTAAACGTAAACTATATAGGTAGGTCCATTGTTATTAACTTAATTAGGGTACTCCTAAGGCTTAGGAAGAGCCACACTCAAGGGGCCAAAGAGCCGCATGTGGCTCGCGAGCCGCAGTTTGCCGACCACGGGCCTAGGCAATAGATTGGAGCTTTTGCTTAAAATAGCAATACTACTTTAAAGAATACATGCATTAACATTTCTTATCTGTGAAGTTTCTAAAAGTTTTTCCAAAATTAACTCGAGCTTGATCATTATTTTTAAGATAGTTAAAACAACTTTCTATGAGTCATTATTGTTAGAAACCCCAGTCATGACTTACCTGCTGGTGGCTTTATGAAAGGTGGTGGAATTAAAGGTACAATAATGGGCACATTGCCATGATCCTTTGACCCTGCAGGTGAGTCACTGAGTCCATTTCCTGTGGCAAGCCCCGAATAGCCTGTGCTTATATTGTATGGTGAAATAACACTGTCCTCGGGTAATTTTGGTTTTGGCAAAGAATTTTCTGTAAAAGAAAAGAAATCACATTCAACATGACAAAAGAACTTTATTTCCCTTATGACCGCATTTTCTCGAGTAAAATAGCTCTGTAGCAAAACATATTTTCCTAGCAAACCTTTAAACACTTTACCAGAACTCTACAAACCATCCAGGACCTGTTCAGGCTTGTTGCCATAAATTTCCAATGGGCTCCTTTATAATTTGCCCTGCTATGATAGCTAACATCCCAATTGCATCATGATGATGAATTTTAGCACTATAAAAGCCCATAGAAAATTGAGAGGCAATTAACCTTTTCCATGTACAAAGTGATGTATAGCAGGCATCGCTCTCTGTCTACTGGGGGAAAGCTGAAAAAGTGCCCCACCCACCCAGCACTGTAACTAGGTCCCAGTGTATTATAAACTTGGTCCATAATATAATCAAAAGAAAAACAAATGATTAGGAACAAAACTGTTGTTGCACAGGATAGACCCATTAAATTAACTCATTAATATCAATTAAAAATGAACAAAAATGAAAATAAAGAAAACTTACAATAATATGAACTTGGTGAATTTTATCTTTGCATGTCAATCATTTAAAAAACAAACAAACACCTTAACCATAGAAAATAACTTTGTCCCTTTAGTCGCATATCCTGGTACTCCTGTTCCACAGAGGGAAAGATTATTACCTAGACCAAGTATTTTATGAAATATTAGTTTATAGAATATGAACTCATAACTTGTATTTTTCATTTACAAGTGAAATTGATACTATTGCCATAATATGATGTGTACAATTTCATAGAAAGCTTAACATAAAATTTGTCACGTACATTCAATTCCACATGCCTGCAGGACAGCTCATTTATAGTTCGTGGCTTGGCATATAAGAAGGAAAAGTGCTATTTTAGAGACTGGAAACAAAATGCATGAACAGGTAGTTTATGCCAATAGACTTGGAATGCAATGCAAATACTAATCAAATTGCCAATGACAACACACAACTAGTTTTACCCACATTTTATTAAAGTTCCTCAAATTGCTTCTTCACATATTCCTCTTCTTTTCCTGGACATTGCTTCCAAATTTAGGTTCATAAGTTCAGTATCCATAAAACACCTCCTGATGGTCCTAAGCTCCCTCATGATGAGACATCTGGTTCTGCTACCACCAGCAGAATCAGTGTTAATTCAACTCTGTCAAGCCTCTAATTTCCAGTCTTTGGCTGGGCTTTAAGGAACTTCTTATAGAATAATACACGATCCAACCATCTACTATGTTCTTACTCTTCTACCTACCCTACCCACAGGTGTTGGGGATGTGGGAAGGGTAAAAACTTCAAACACGAAACAGAAATAGGGCTTTCCTTTAGAATTCCCACCAAAAAAAATGGGGGGGTCGGAGGAATTACCAAAGTAACCATCATACTCTCTTGCATCTGAAAATCTAAACCTAGCATCTCACGTCACAGAAAGCACCAGTCTCCAACAATTCATATATCAAAGGGCTTAGAAAAGCAGGAGAAGTTAGCAAACATTATCCCTTTCTATACATTTGTGGACAGGACTAGAGCACTCAAGGTTCCTAGCCCTTGTCTAGCTAGCTCTCCCGTTGCTGGAAGGAGATCAAGCTGTGTCTACCTTTGTTTTATGTTGTGCTCTTACATTCCGTGGAATTCTGCTTATGGGAAAACACCACTGGGGACGTGCGTGTAAATCAACCATTGGCATAATCAACAAAATGAGTCCCAAAGCAGCTCAATTCTGGCAAGTTGAGATAGTTAATCCTTCTTGGCATGAGCACAGGCACATTAAATGTCATTACCTTTGAGAACAGAAATGTGCTGCCGGCTCTCTCCATCTGTAGGGTAGCTCCTGAATTCAATATCTTCACCATCTTTCAATTCAACCTTATCATAGCCATACCAGCCAAGGAGTTCATTCATGGTGTTTTCTGCAAAGTTCTGAAAGAGAAGCATAAGCTACTTATTTATATAATTAATAACTATTTGAAAAGAATGCATAAATCAGATTCCATTTGCACTACCCGTTTACTACCAGCCTCTACCCACCTCCCCTAGGGGCATGTTCATTTTTCAAATCCTGTTCAAAATTGTAATGCATTTAAATCTCAGGATGGCACGTCAAATTATGACAGGCCTTCAGACATTTGCAATTTAAAGATAATAAGAAAAAGGGCATTAATTTTGCTTACAAACAAACACAATTTTAGCATCTTCCTCTGCAAAGTGTATACCACACTAATACAAAAATATTAAAAGGTATAGCACAAAAACAGCTAAAAATGTTTTTGAAAATGAAAACAACTAATTGACCTTTTGTGGCTCAGATTAATGTAAGTTAGAATTGCTTTCTAACTCATCTCAGATAAAGCAAAACCTCAGCAAAGAAATTATTTAATTGTCAACACTACCACCCAGAAAGCTAAATAGGCTACAAGGTTCTCCGTTTATTTTAATGAATGAAGAAAAATTTTATTAATAGTAACACTGAGTGACAAGGGTTTCCCTTTTTTACTTTTCCTTTTCAAGAGTATTCTTTAAAAATACATGCATAATTTGCTTTATCAATTTCATCAGTGACAGATTCTTCCTCCATGAAATCAAAGGACACGGTGATTGTCTTTTGACATGTAATATGAAAGTACCAAATAACTTTAACATTTCCAGTCAACCCAAATTTTGGATAATGTATGACAACTTTCTGAGTTATAAATTAATATCTAAATATAAGGTGCTGTTGTTAGTATAGAGATCAAACTGAAAATAATGGATCTACTTGGACAGATTTAAAGCCTTCATATCAGGTGACTATGTTTTATGAATTTGTCAACTGCTAGCTCTGGAAGCAAGATGTGAGACTGTGTTTGTTAATGATCTTAATGAGCCTTAAAGAATCTCTATCCAGGGAAATAGAGAGATATTGGTTGATGGGTACAAACTTCCAGTTATAAGATTTAAAAGTTTGGGGATATAATTTACAGCATAATGATTATAGCTAATAATACTGTTTCACATACTTGAATATTGCTAAGAGAGTAGATCTTACATGTTCTGACCACAAAAAGAAATGTTAAACTATGTGACAGATGGAGGTAGTAGCTTATGTTATAGTGGTAATGATTTTGAAATACATAAATGTATCAAATCAACCCCTGTACACCTTAAACTTACACAGTTATGTGTCAATTATAACTCAATAAAGCTGGAAAACATTTTTAAAATAAGAAGAAGGAATCTACATTACAGAATAAGAGTTTAATACATGTTTATTGAATGAATTTTTAAAAGCATCTCTATATGACAAAGCAGCCTGAGCCTCCTAGTCTGAGCTAGAAATCTGTATATTCTAACCTTCTCTGTCTTTTCAAAGTCATTTCTCATTCTCCCTAGAAGCTATCATTTCTGCATTACACAGGGATGTATAATTTATATACCTGAAACAAAGAACCCAGGTTAAACCAAAGTGCTCATAGGCTCAATGTGTGAGTTCAATGTTCTCTTAAATTTCACAACTGGGCCCTGACCGGTTTGGCTCAGTGGATAGAGTGTCAGTCAGCCTGCGGACCGAAGGATCCCTGGTTCGATCCCGGTCAGGGGCATGTACCTTGGTTACGGGCATATCCCCAGTGGGGGGTGTGCAAGAGGCAGCTGATCGATGTTCCTCTCTCATTGATGTTTCTAACTCTCTATCCCTCTCCCTTCCTCACTGTAAAAAATCAATAAAATATATTTTTAAAAAAATTTTCACAACTGGATTTCAGCAGAGGTTGCATTATTTTTTTTTAAAATGATATTACACTACTAACTCCCCAAAAACAAACCTGGCATTTCAAACCACCCACAGGATGCTAGATTTTTTTGCTTTAGTACTCACTTAAGCTTAGAGCTCCAACTGGGTCAACCTGTGATGGTACAGTGCACAAGCAATTAAAAGAAAAATCTAGCCAGATTGATTCAGGGTTACCATCCATGAGGCCAACAGTCATCCATATCAAGCTCTAGTGAGGCATTTATTCTCGCTGATGGCTGGTCACGTCCACATTAAATAGACATTCCTTTCATGAATTCACAAAGATAATATGATCGATATGTATAATAAGCTCAGCAACTTCTGGAATACCACTGAAGAGGACTCAGCTAAATGCTGCTCTGCTCAATCAAAAGTGATCTCTTTAATGAGGCATCAGTCTCCCCTAACACCCAATTTCTTTCACTGAGCTCAGTGCCTGGACTGGAGAATGACAGTCCCTAAGCACACAGACCCAGGTCTTCCATTAGTGGTCTGACAGCAGAAATCTCCAAGGATAAGGATTGCATCAAAAAAAAAACACAACAATTCCAACAGTTCTAAAAGCCAAGTTCAAGCCATTCTATTGGTCTATGTGGGCTATTTGCCCCAATCTCTCAGAGAACTGTGCCAAGACAGAAAATCTTCTGCATAGTAACTCCTGGCCACCATATCCAATTTTTTAGACCATTTGTATCTGGGCACCTCTCTCTCCCGTTCTGCCGAACCTCTGAAGTGACACAAAGGCTACAGATGCATAATTCATGGAGCAACCTCCCAGTCAGCATATAGATGTGTTTGTTTTAGTTGAGCTGCAAATCCATTCAGTCTTTCAGAACCAATCCCAGGGATGAAATCCAGAGGTTTCACACATTTAGATACAAACTAAAACCTCTACTGGATTATTAACACCAAATTCATATTATTTGGGCATCTTAACTGTATCACTTAGTTTATGGTTTGTGCTGAAAACTCAGACACTTCGTGAATCAATATGAACTTGATCTATTCCATGATATTCAAGTTACTTTAAATATCAGTGAAAATACACTCTAAAACAGTGATGGTGAACCTATGACAAGCGTGTCAGAGGTGACACACGAACTCATTTTTTTTGGTTGATTTTTCTCTGTTAAATGGCATTTAAATATATAAAATAAATATCAAAAATATAAATCTTTGTTTTACTATGGTTGCAAATATCAAAAAATTTCTATATGTGACACGGCACCAGAGTTAAGTTAGGGTTTTTCAAAATGCTGACACGCCGAGCTCAAAAGGTTCGCCATCACTGCTCTAAAACATTCCCTTTCTTATCATTGAAAAGAAAATAAACTCCTTAATGTTTCAATATGTGATTTCAAAAGTAGAAAACAAAAGGTTTATAAAGCCTCAAGCCATAAATCTCAAACCTTTCATGACAGGAGGAACAAGACTTTCATTGAAAGAAGAGGAAAACAAACACCAAAGGTTCCTTTTAGTGTAAGCACAAGAAATAAACTATTACCTCTGACTTACACACTATTGTATTAAGAAAGCGGCCCTACCCTGGCCAGGGGCCTCAATTGGTTGAAGCGTTGTCCCATACACCAAAATGTTGTGGGTTCAAAACCCAGGGCACATACCTGGGTTTCCAGTGTGACCCCTAGTCAGGCATGTACAGGAGGCAACCGATAGATGTTTCTTTCTCTCTCTCTCCCTCTCTCCCTCTCTCCCTCTCTCCTTCTCTTCCTTCCTTTCTCTCTAAAATCAATTAAGACATGTCCTATGGTTGGTTAGAGCATCGTCCCAATAAGTCAAGGTTGGGGGTTTGATCCCTATTCAGGGCATACACAGAAATCAACCAATGAATGCATAAGTAAGTGGAACAATAAATTCTCTCTCTCTCTCTCTCTCTCTCTCTCTCTCTCTCTCTCTCTCTCTTAAAAAACAAAACAAAAAAAGAAGAATAAAGAAATAAGGAAAGCAAAGAACCCCAAGGAATAAATAACTTAAAATTTTTAATTTCTAGGTAGAATTTGATGCCAGACGTCATATGGACTCATTATGGTGCTAAACCAAAGGAAATGTAATATACTTTTGTAGTTATCATCCAAGAAACATAACATATTCTACAAGAAATGAATTTAATGTCTATGGCCCATAAGGGGTTTAAGCCCTTCTGCTAGAGAGTTCCAACAGCCATTTTTTCAATATTTTTTGTATTGTTATCCTTTACAAAAAAAAAAAAATTCTATTAAAAGCATTATTCTTTTCCTACATAAGGCTATGTCAGTTATGTTTTTTAAAGCGAAAAATAAAGGTGATAACAGTTAAAGTACAGAGATTCTGAGGTAAAGATATTCAACAATAAGAGAAGCTACTGTACTAAGGGAGACTATAAACTTTGCTTCCCCCTTAATCTTCACCCACCATTTGCCCTGGAGACTTAGAATAGGAAACTGAAGGAGAGTCTCTGAAAGTCTTTCCAGGCTCTGAGATTTTGAACTTCTACTTATATGAGAAATGAAATACCTTTTGCAAAGAAATATAATTATAGTGATCACACATCATAAATTTTACTGAACAGCCACTATTTCAGATATTTTATCATTGCTCCCATACACCATCAAAATGTGCCAGAAATTTCAATATCCTGGCATCTGACTCACATTTTGCAGACTGCCTCTCGCCCTTGGAAGTGGCACAAAAATCCTCTCTCATACCATGTGGTCCAATTTGGGTTTGGAAAATAGGTCACTATAATTATAATGATAATGTCTAACACTCTTATAGCACTTTATAGTGTTTCCACATCCTTTAAAAGTCTCCTGTTCCTTTCAATAACCCTATGAAGTAGGTATTTGATTTCCACAGTAAACTTTTGGTGAACCTATGTAACATCCTCATTTTACAACAGAAATGAAAGCATCCAGAAGGTAAATGACAGGCGTGAGAGATCACCCAGCAAAGTCAGGATGAAAATACAGACTCTTATACCAGGTCTCTTTCTGTTATAACTTCTGTAAGGTCCAATGTGTCAGCAATCCCAAAGAAGCTACCTGCTTGGACCAAAGAGTTGCAAAGAAATCGTCCCATTGGATGTCAATGTCACATATATACAGCTTTCAAGCCAGGGCACCTCTACCTCTGTTAAAACTTCACTTTCTTTCAG